ATCTTAATAATGAAAACTAAGAAAAGAATTATCTCACAAGGCTTTGGATAGGCCACACTAGTCTCACACAAGGATATCTTCTGGCGTGCGGCAGACAACGACAACCACGTCACCTACTAGTGATTTAAAAATCCATAAGTAACGGTTTGGCCTACCCTCAGATTAAAAAAAAGGGTTAATGAATTAGTGATTATCGGTACACTTATTTGAATATATGAAAGTGTTGAATGCATGTTCCTTAATTTAATTTTCCTCTTGTCGTATTTCATGTCTCAAAATGATGGTTGTATGACTTTATTAGCGAAAATGTTGGTGAAATTAGTTTGAATGAAAATAGTCGCTTGAAAAGGCCCGTTACCCTGTATGTTTTTAATTGTAAATAGTTTTGTTGTATTAGTGTGAAAGATTGACGACTAACCTTCGTATTTATCTACAAAGAATAATGATGGATATGCTTGGTGTTTTAGTACATAGGCTTTCATGTGAATGATGATCGGTTACCATCGGAATATCGATGAACTATTGTGGCCCGTCATGTAGTATGCTTATTATTTCTACGAACGATATATTGATGCAAAAATTGATATGATAATAAAGGTGTAAGGGAACTGTCCAGGATCTAAGGTGCAAGATAAAACATGCAGAGGATAAAAATTCAGAAGACGAAATGCAGAAGAGAAACTGATACTATCGCTTTTGAAAATTTGGATCATACTGTATCATCATACTCACAGTTTGTTGTTTTCAACGATCGGAATTGCAAGCTTAAAGCATCATCATTTTGAAGGATTTCCGAACATGTCTTCGACATGAATTGCATGAGTGAAACTGCCGATCCCCCGTCAACGTCCACGTTCCAATGAGAAGCTGGTTTATATTGTCGGTCAATTTTGAATTTCAAGACAAGTAAATATTATCGTATTAAATACTGTAAGAAAACAATTTTAATTTAGTGAATAATTTGTATGCCTTTTTATTAATTAATTAATAGAAATAAAAATAAAAATAATCAATAATAGATTAATAAATTAATGACAAAATTAAATAATGAAATTAAATTAATTAAATTGATTAATTTGTAAGTCAAAAATTATTTAGGTACGCAAAATTGGTGGCAAATCAAAATGTACTATATTTTAACTTCAAATTTCTCAAATTAATCTACATTGCCCATCAAGAAAACCGACCACCTGGTTTTTGCTCGAAAAAATGGCCAACTTTCGAAATGCATATTTTCTCTGCCTTTTACGTTACCTATGCTAGGGTTCATTTTTGAGAAAATTTTACGCTGAACAAGATGGCTTTTTTATATCTCTTCCTAGCTTCAGTCATTCATCATTAAATTCAAAAATTCGGGAACATGTTAAATAAGAATTGTCGCTTCCCTGTTCACTTTTTAGAAAAAGTCTTCGAAAACAAAGGTTGTAGAGTGTAACATTTGCGAAAACATGACGTTTCAAAATGTACGCATTCTCGAGGTGGGAGGGTGATTTTCCCAAAAATCGCGAATAACTTGAAAATTGTTAAGAAATCGGGCAAAGTGGAAAATGAACAATTGAAAGCTTTCCAATCGATTGCTAAAGGGCATAGCTCCAGCACGATTTCCTGGCTCCACACACAATTTGAATTTTTCACAAAAAGTGTCAAAATGAACATGTTCACCGAATTTTTGAATTAGCTGATGGAGATTGAAGCTTAGAAAACATTTAAAAAAGCCATCTTGTTTAGCGTAAAATTTTCTCAAAATGAAACCTAGCGCAGGTTTGTGCCGTAAAGGCTGAGAAAATATCCCTTTCCAAAGTTGCTCCTTTTTTCGTGCAAAAACCAGATGGTCGGTTTTTTATTTGATAGGTAGCCAATTGAAATTTTATTTTGTTTCACGTACATGGTCTTTGAATTCAGAATCCAGCTTCTCATTGGAACGTGGTGAAATTTAAGATGAAATCCAGATGGTGGTGGATGAAATCAACAAACCGTGAGTAAGCTCCGACTTTTCAAAAAAGATTAAACAACATATTTACCCCACCTTTATCATTTCTAGTAAAAAAGTCAGAAAGTATACTATATCTTTTATACGTCAGGCTTTCTTTGGTTGCAATTTCACTTACATTTTTTCTTTTTTTAAATCAAAGTCTATAAAGAGAAGTCAGAAAATATTTTTAAAGATTGTCGCGTCAAAAATTGGGACTTTTCTCTCTCCAAAGAGGCCGAAATCTTTCGCCAAATTCGGACGAGACGTGACTTTTGTTGAGTGGATTGGCAGAAGTAGGTGGACCGTTCCTGCTTCTCTCATGTTATATTAAAGCTTTGGTCTTCTCCCATCGTCCATCTACTTAATGGATACATGGAAACGCACTATTGGAAAAAAAATCACCTGTCGAAAAAATGTAAAGGAAAATTCTTAATTCGAAAAAAGGAACGAACCCTTTTTTGTCCCTTTATCCGTGGGAGAATCCCCCAGGCGCTGGATGGTAGCAAACGGCCGTTTTTCAACGTATAAATTTACATAGTAGAAACAAAAATTCTTTAACTATTTGTTAAAAAACAGTATAAAAAGGACGGTGAATTTATTAATATAAGTTTTAGAAGTAGTGAAAAAGTATATGGTTTTTGAGTGAATCTGGCCGACTTATCACATTTTGTACTGTATCTTTATGTTTGATCTTATTCTTATACAGGTTTTTCACGTATAGAGTATATTAATTATTATCTCTTTTTTATTTAACTCTGATAAATATAAATTCTGGCTCAAACATGTTAATTTTGTCAGTGATTTGTTAATCAGGGAATTATTCTTTCTATGTAAGGTCTTGGTTGAATTAAAAAAGTCAGTGTCACGAGCGGGATTCGAACTCACGACCTTTGGCTAAATACGCCGCTCGATACTCTCCTACTTGAGCTATCGTGACTTCGATCCTCTCGGACACCAATTCTCCATCTCAACCTACAACCGTTCGAATTTTCCCTCTTTTTGTCCAAGAGGTTACGACAGCTCGTGAATGTAGAAGTATCGGCGTATTTAGCCGAAGGTCGTGGGTTCGATTTCCGCTCGTGACACTGACTTTTTTATCTCACCCATGACCTTATATATAAAGAATAGAACTGAAAGAAGTAACTTTGTCAATTAACCACTAAAACGTAAATGGGTTAATCAGTGATTTGTACAGGAGTAACGTCTCGATTGGTGCGTGATATTATTATTATTGTTAATAATAATTTCGTTTTATTTGGAGCCTATCCATAGGACTTATTACAAATATAGTCAAAGTATGTTTTTTCACACGACCACCTCGACAAATGCCATGGGAAACCAGCCAATGCCGGCATTCACAAGCACTTTGACAAAAGGAATGTTGATCTTACGTATAGTGAGGTTAGTGACATAGTTAGGAGCATTGATGATTTGTCTGATGATTTTTGATTGTAAGTATTGGGTGTGCTAGTTGTTAGATGGCTTCGCAAACCCCATAATTCCACACCGTATGATATGGTCGGAGAAAATTCTTGCTTGAGGTTAGTTTAGTGTTAACGGTCAACATGGATATCGGTCTTAATAGTATTCGTAGTTGTCATATCTTCTGTTAAGTTGGTGTCTTTTAAGGCTTGTGTGGATATTCCACGACATTCTGTTGTCTAGGTACACTCCAAGGTATATTCCTTGGATGGAAGTCGGTACCTACTTGTGATGATGTACAGTGAGGGCAAGACAGTTTTTTCAATGTGAACGTACAATTAGTGCATGTTTTTTCATTTAGCCTTATCCTCAACTTTTTGCGCCAGATAAATTCAAGTTTTTAGAAGAAGCTTGAATAAGATTCAGATAGTTGATAATAACTTTTAAACAAGCAGCAATATATTGTTATCGTGTTACAAATTTAAGATTTCCCAAGTAACTATGAAGCAGAAAATAATTAAAATTTACTAAAAAATTATTTATTATTTTTCACGAAAAACGGAACATATAGATAACGTCAACGTTCAATTGTCGCCGAGAATCGAATAGATTACATGAAATTTGAAAAAGGGCAAAAAGGAGGGAAAATTCAAAAGGTGGGGTTGAGATGGGAAGTTGGTGTCCGAGTGGATCGAGGTCACGATACCTCAAGTGGTAGAGCAGCGGCGTATCTAGCCGAAGGTCGTGGGTTCGAATCCCACTCGTAACATTGAATTTTTAAGTTCACTTGTGAGTACGTTTGATGTATAAATGTGATGTGGCGCTGCGGTTGTGCGGGAAAGACCGATGAAATCGGGTCCACTTATGCTGCGGTGCGGGGAGATGTCAGGCGTGCGGTCGTGGTGAATCAAGACGTAGATCACAACTGATTGTAGTGCGGCGGACGAATAATAATAATAACGCCCGTATTGTTGAACAGAACAGAACGTTGAACTATCGATTCACAATACAAATAACTTATACAAAATTGCTGAAACATCTAAATTTAAGAAACAGAGCGTATGCTGTCTTCTTGGCGGTTGAGACGCGACTGGTCTAGTTGACTGGACTTGACAAAAAAAAAGAAGGGGCGTTTCCATGGTAATGAAAAATACAAAACAATTCACCGTAGGAACGGCGACGTGTAAACACTGGTGCTCATGGCAACCGAAAGCATAACATTTGGTTCCCATAGCAACGGGAGGCGTAAACATTCGTTCCCCGTGGCAACGAGACCAAACAAACTAACTTAAATTAAAACAAATAAAAATTAAATTCAGGGGTAAACATTAATCTCAACTAAAAACCTTAATTAATTGAAAGATATTAATTGGTCAAGCGGACCACGAAAACTAGTGAATTGCACAGATAACCTTTAAGAAATATTACATTGAATGTTTTGATTTGTTTAAATTGACTATCCACGAAAAGCTTTCTTGTCACTTTTTCATAAACTTCTATTTTGTGTACTAAGTTGAAAAGGTTTTCAAAAAACTGTTGTCAAATTATGTAAAAGCTTATGTGTCAAACCAACATTATTACCGCTGAAAATATTTGATATTCTTACCTGCTTTTCTAAAAAGTTTATAAGGGTTCGACCAGGGTGTTGTATATTTAGAGCTGTCAAGTTGGCCACTCTCAAAGACAATTCGTATCTCCATCTCTCTAAAACAGACAAGAAAAAAAGTGTTAGAATAAAAAAAAATGTTTTTGAAAATCACGGTAAACTTTACCAATATGAAAAGAACAATTTGTAGGTTCAGTCAATAAATCAAAATGCTTGAATCAACAGAAGTGGTTGTTTTAAGATTGGAGCAAATTTACCTCGCGGATGTTTAACTTGTAATTAAATCTCTTCCTAGCTCGTGTGTACTTTGGGCCAACCGCAGCTTGAATCCTCAAACTGTCTTATAAATTGGAAACGATTTCCAATTCCTATTGTTTGACGAGGGAGCATAAATGAAATATGTTTCACACTTGGACGGAACAATAAATTCCGGGCCCGATGATAAATCGTCCCAATTTTGTTCTCGGACCGACTTAACTGAATAAACAGTTGTTTTATCGGTTCTCCTCGAAACTCGTGGCATTTACAGGTTGGCTGTATAGGCTGTGAAATACACTTAGACTTCAGGATATATTAAATCAGTTTCGTCCGCTTATCAGTACAATTTTATCATATTTTCTCATTCTAAAGCCAGAAAGCACTTACGGCTCAATAATTATCTATTTAAATATTATTGCCTACTAATCGGCGTAATTTATTATCTCTATGTTAAAAGACAATGAAGGATGAGGTCACTTTTGCAAGGTGCAAAAAATGAATTTATACAATGCTAAAAAATTAATAAAAAAAAATAAAATGAGTTTTAAACACTGCTAGAAAATTTTAGATCTAAAAAAATTATACAATGCTAGAAAATTTTAGATTAAAAAAATGAATTTATACGATGCTACACGGAAAACAAACACTTTGAGTGAGAGCAAATACTTTGATTGAATCTAAAATTTTCTAGCAATGTATAATTTTTTAAATTTAAAATTTTCTAACATTGTATAGTCATTTTTTTAATCTAAAATTTTCTAGCGTTGTATAAATTTATTTTATTTATTTATTTATTTTTTCATCTAAAATTTTCTAGCATTGTATAATTTTTTAAATTTAAAATTTTCCAGCATTGTATAAATTCATTTTTTAATCTAAAATTTTCTATCATTGTATAAATTCATTTTATTTATTTATTTTTTCATCTAAAATTTTTTAGCATTGTATAAATTCATTTTTTCACAACTTACATGTATTTGTAAAATTTAAACAATGTTTATAAATCCCAGGCCCTGAAGATGATCTCAATAGTGATCGAAACGTTAGCACGATAAAGAAAATGTTTTTCTAAAACCTACGTCACACCAGACCGCATCTCACGATCTCCAAATAATTACAACTAACGGTCACTATACACCACACAAATTTCAATAATTTTCAATTCGCAATGATGATGCGAAAAATTGCAAAGCGTTCTTCGTTTTTCATAAAGCGAAAATAAGCACATTAAAAGCACAACGACCAACCAATAGATTTAGAAATGTTGGTACTAGAAGTATGTGATCAAAACCAACAATACAATACTACGAGCCGGCTCAAATTCAAAATTTTCCAAATTTTATACTGCATAAAGTTCTACAGATTCCTTACGGCATGACTCCTTGTAGAATGTGCTTTGGGCTTTGGTTTTTTGAATTGTTCCGTCAGTTGTTTATAATCTAAGCAACGGAAATGAACGAAAAAAATAGCATATCTCAAAACTATACAAATGAAAAAAAATATGCCACTTTATTATACATAAAAAAAAATTTACATATTATTTTCTTCTATATTATATAATCTGTATTCTCTTGTTCTTGAAAAACCTTTGGAGGTTGATTCCTCGCCTTTTGTGCTTATGCTTTGATCTTTTCAACTTGTTTTGGCAGATTTTATTCTCCTTCTACGTTTGGGATCGTACCAACATTTTGAAAATCTAAGCACTAGAAGTAAGTAAAAAAATAATCCATTATATTTCGTGGTCTATTGGCCAAATTACTTCTTTCAGTTAATTAATCTTTTTACGTAAGGTTTTGGGGAGTTGGTGTCCGAGTGGATAGTAGTCACGATAGCTCAAGTGGTTAGAGCAGCGACGTATTGAGCGTGGGTTCGAATCCCGCTCGTGACACTACCTTTTTCATTTCAACCTAAACATTACATAGAAAGATTAATTTAAAAAATAATAATATTCCCGAAAAATGTGAAGCCGTTGATAAGAATATGGTTCCGGTTGGATGAGATAAAAGCCAATAATTTGTTGTATTATTTTATTTTTATTTTATATTATTTAAAAAAATAGTATTTCCTACTTCATTACATATCTTTATAATTTTGTGAAAACTCATCATATGAGTGAGTGATCATGTATAATCTCATGTTTTTCATAAACGTCTTCCAGCTTCCTCATCGCGTGACTCCTCTCATTTTGTGCTTTCGTTGCGAATTCCTGCACCTGTTTGTAAGATTTGTTAGTGTGTATATGTTAAGATATGTTAGTTGTATTTTTTTTAAAAGTTATCATTAGCAAATGACCTGACAAACGTGTTTTTCCAACATTTTTGTAATGATTTTGATGACAAGATATCTGAAGCTAAATGTGCTCTTGTAAATTTTCGTTCACTAAATGCGCTTTTCCAGATATATTATTCATAGGTTTTACCAACTTTTCTTTATAATCAATCATCTAATCACGGGTAATTTTATTTTTCAAAGAATATTAGTAATATTGCATAAAATGGTAAAAAAAATGGAGACAAAACTCATTTTATGTCTGTAAATGAAATCACTGACTGGGTTCTTCTATTTGTGCTTGAATTTAGTAAAGTTCATTTATTAAATTTAGTTTGAACACTTAATAACGTAATAATACGTGTATAATTTTTTTTTCAAATAGATAATTTAAATATGACTATTTTTTTATTTTTTAAGAGATAAATGCAATAAAGAAAAGGAACAAGAATTGCTCAAAACAAATAAACAAAAATTGAACCGAAATACTTTAGAAAAGAATATTCTACACACGATTGCTCTTGGAGGAAGGAAACGCAATTGGGACTAATCCAAACAAATATATTCCGCCCGGAAAAAAACCTGGAAAGTTTCCCTCAGAGGGAATACAATCGCAACGTCAAACAAACTGTGGCAAACATACGATAGTACTGTTTACCTTGCCGGTAATGTAAAAGTATCCTGGTAGTATACAAAATATCGTTTTGAATATTGTTTCAATGTAAATTTTGGAAAATAACTACAAATAATCATTTCATCTGTCTAGGTAACACAATGAATTTTAACCCGTTAATGGGCCACCGTTCAGCATCAATTCCGACTTTTGCCATGTTTTGATGTAATCAATCAAAATCCCGTTTTGATTAAGAATTACTGATTACCGATTTATGTAAGCGCAAATCTGCACACACGTGAACAGAGTTGAGCCTCCCAATTATCGCAGTCCACCTGCAATTCCAGCTTTTGTAATTTACAATGAATTACGGGCAGGCCTCTAGAATCACCCACCCCGAGTGTCCGGGGTCAGACTTCGATCTTTTCCGTCCAGCCTCCGAGTTGGTTTCCGGGTGTTGTCAACTGCTAGGTCATTTCACCCAACGCAATCAGTTCCTAAATCCAAGCCGATTCACACTCTCATTCATTCTTAAATTCATTCTTTCCTATTCACTGAATTAGGATGGCGATATTCCTCCATCACCCTTTACACCTTTCATAAAACTAAGCTAGTTGGAAGTCAATGAAGTACGTGACATTACGCGATCGACCACACTACACATTCACGCTAATAAATATATTCATTCTCAACATACGCCAGACACACAAAACAATCATTTCGATACATTAAAACAACCGCCAAGAATCGGAAGAGAGGACCCCAGATCCACAATTCTCATATCGGGAAACATTCCTGCGCGCTCTATATAAAGAGCCAAGAAATATCAGCCTTCATATGTATGATAGGACACATCGAGCATTTTTTCTCTCCAGCTCTGGCCCAAAAGTCTCGCATAGCCTACCAATAGCCCACCCATTGACAGTGCTCTTGATACAGGTTATCGTTTCTGCTGATCAGGACGCTGCTAATTTGTTTGAATATTTTTTTTCCGTCAGGGAGCCGGATGGCAGTGGTTAATCACGGAGGTTGGGACGACTGAACTGAATTCTTCATAACATTTTTTTATATTTTTTTGAAGCTACATAAAAACGTACCAATGAATAGACTAAAAGAATATACTTTTTTTTTCAATTACTGAAGTGTGGAAAAACACCACTACCATAACATATAGTAACACATTAATTACAAATATTTATTTGTTAATATCAATTTTATTTGAAAATAATTCGTATATTCAATTAATAATATTCGATTTTTCGAAATGGCACAAATTTTTCGTTCGGAAAAATCGTGTATAATTAAATGAATATACATACAATACAAAGGTATTAATTTTGTTGGTCGTACGATATAATATTTCTAAGAAATAGTTTCAGACCAAGTGTTGTTGGTACCGATTATTAAAAAAATCTCATCTAGTGTTCATTCTTGTAATACAAACTATTTATTAGCAATTAACTTAAACAATTAGTGGTACATGTCGTATTAAATCACAGAATTTTATGTAAAATGCATTAAAGTTAACTAGTTTGTTTTAAAATTAAATAAAATTAATTAACCCGTCTGCCTGGAATGTTAGACACTTTTTTAAATACTGCAACCATACAAATGTTGACCCTCGCTATTTAAGAGCTTTTGGCGAGGAAAAGCCTTTTTATATTATTTTAAACACTTTCAAATCAGGTTGAACACTTGTTTAAGTACATTAAGTGTAACTAGCCTTTTAATAAATCAACTAACCTTAAGAGGTCATTAACGTTTAACAAAATTTCGCCATCCGTCCAATTAGATAGTTTAACACTTTGATATTATAAAAGTTAAAAGTAATAAAATTCAACATGATTCATAAAGCGAATTGGGGTTTTCTTATCTATATATGTTTTTGTAAATAGCAAAAAATTTCTTTCATTTTTTCGTGTTTCTATATCACAACTTAAAATTGAAATTATTTGACTA